AGGTTAGTGTGTTTGATGCCACCAAAACTTGTTTTCATGTGATATCAATAGCCAACTATAGTAGAGTGTCCTGACTGTTCTGGTACTTCAGTTCCAGCATTCACTTTATTGAGGTTGTGTAGGTACAACAGCAGCAATAGCAGCATTAAAAGGAGAGGTGATTTATCTCTTCTCCTGGTGACGGACATGCTTGACAGGATAGTCTGCAACAGCTTTTGATGGATAAGCATGAGAATAGCATTTACATAGTGTGTAAGTGCGAAGGAGCCAAACAGGGCAAATGTGTCCAGATGTGCCTTGTTGCACTTTGTAAAGATTGACGGAATTATTTCCAAACATCAGTAACACAGCCTGGCAAACGTTTCACACCACCAACTAAAGAGTTACAGAATGTTACTCTAGATTGCCAAGCCTCATGTGTTCCATGATCCACGATGGTCTGATTCGCCATTATTAGCTGGAGTACCGAGCTTGCCATTCAAAAACATTTTAGGATCATAATCGCAAAGAAAACTCACATCATATTGTGCTGTTTCAGCAGGTCTGGCGTGTCACTCAGGAAACAGTTCTGCCACCCGCGCAAGGGCGGCCAACGACCTTGCAAGCGGCGTACCCTCAGGAATCCACCTGTGCGTTCTTGCCTGGAGCTGTAGCTGCTATCGCTAAGGCAGACTGTGGTTGGCCCTGACCATACTCATCCAGGCCAAGTCTCATCATCCTCGCCCCCGACAGGTAAGTACTGCGTGTCACTTGCGATCGATTCACATGACCTGCGCTCTCAGAACTAGCAGCTCTGCCACCGCTTGACAGGATATCCACAAAGAATGATACATCACGGTCGATGGGATCGCGGCTACTGTCCACCGTGAGCACCAACTGACACAAGAATCGCCTTCAATTTTTTTTCCGACATTGTCGTCTCTACAGTTTGCTTTGATGGAATCGATTTTTTTGCGAACAAATTTGTTTTTAGTGTTTTCTCAAAAAAATACGCGTAGCCCCGAAGGTTGAAGGTCTCAGATATCGGGCCATATGTATTTGTTGTGGTTCCATTTGTCATGGGTGTGTCATGCTTCTTACCTCAATGCAGCGTCATCCGTAGTCTGCTTCCATTGAAGGGCAGGCGGAACTGGTCTATACGATCCAGCCATGGCCGGACCAACCTTTTGGCCCAGATATTTTTTCTTGGAGACATCACATCAAAAATGGATAAAACCCGTCGATCAACTGATAGAGTATTAAAGCGTTAGTCAGAGAGTGTTTGGAAGTCTTTGAGACATTGAGAAGTGGTTGGAAATGTTTTGAGGAGTGTGTAGTAAGTCGAGCTAAGATGTTACGACACTGAGTCAGCGGTACATTAGTGAAGAAACTGCATTCTCCCAACGTCGGAGCTCACGCTTCCTGTCGACTGGACTGACACTTAACTGACTCACGACTGCGTCTGGAGCACTCGAGAAGCCTGTCGTACCCGGGAAATTACTGTTTTTGCTTGTTCTGCCAAAGTTTCCCTGCCAGCAGTGGCTGTCTACCCAAACTCGGCGTTTGAACAGTCGTGCACACGTGCTCGTCTGACTGTTCAAGATGTGACTTCTGCAGACTTCAATGGCATTTAAATAACAGGGTCAATAAACCATTTCGACTTTAAAACCATTGTTTTTCTACTCCGTGGTTTCGATACAACCTCACAGCCACACTCATACCGGGTAAGTGCCAGGTTTTGGCCGTTGTTCCAGTGGTGTATGATTGACTAACTATATGGCCCAATATCTGAGAAAATCGGCGTTCGGGGCTGTTTTTGTGAAATAATTTTTTATTGCAAATTGATGTCTAGCCTTTGTAGAGTATTGTGACTTCGTTTCACGGCCATCTGACCAATATTGACCATGTAGAAGTGCATTTTACAGTAAGGAGTCATGTAAATGAAGTTTTCTTCTTTTTTTAATTTTGAAAGATCAGTTTGTTTGGAGCCGCCAAAAACTGTTTCCATGTGATATCAATAGCCAACTAATATAGTAAAGTGTTTTGACTGTTCAGGGACTTCATTTCCAGCATTCCGTGACTTTATTGAGGTTGTGTAGTTGCAACAGCAGCAATAGCAGCATTAGACGGAGAGGTGATTTATCTGTTCTCCTGGTGATGGACATGCTTGACAGGATAGTCGGCAACAGATTTTGACGGAACACCATGATACATGTAACAGCATTCACATACTTATTGTGAAGGAGTCAAACAGAGCAAATGCGTCCAGATTCGCCTTGTTGCACTTTGTGGAGACTGACCATTTCCAAACATCAGTAACACAGCCTGACAAGCGTTTCATGCCACCAACTCAAAAGTGACAGAATGTTACTTGAGATTGCTCAGCCTCATGTGCTCCGTGATGGTCTAGGATCATCGTCGCAAAAAAAAAGTCGCATCATTAATTTTCGTGCTGTTTTAGGAGGTCTGGATTGACACTCAGAAAACAGTTCTGCCACTCGTGCAAGGGCGGCCAGTGACCTTGCAAGCGGCGTACCGTCAGGAATTCACCTGGTTGTCCTTGCCTGGAGCTGTAGCAGCTATCGCTGAGGCAGACTGTGACCTTGATCATACTCATCCAGCCCAAGTCCTCATCATCGTCGCCCGGCCCGACAGGTAAGTACCGCGTGTCACTTGTGATCGATTCGCCTGACATGCGCTCTCAGAACTAAAAGCGCTGTCACCGCTTGACAGGATATCCACAAAGAACGATGCATCACAGTCCATGGGATCGCGGCTGCTGTGCTCCGTGAGCCCAATAACCAACTGACACAAGAATCGCCTCCAATTTTCTTCTGCCATTGTCATCACCGCAACAAGCCATGGCACTCTACTTCAATCCACCGAACACAGCCAAGCCAGGAAGACCTCTGACTACTTTAGTCACCCAGATCCAGCAAGACTGCGTCCACAGACAAACGCCACTCAAGAGGAGCCCGCATCTGCAAAGCCTCGGGCAGAAGGCATCCGACAGGCAAGTGTGGAAGGCCTTCGTAAAAAACGCACAGTGAACACTGACGAAACAGAAGTTGCCCATCCTTCTCAGTGCTATTTGCTTATTGTCGATTTGTAAGCCGTACCTTGCAGTCCATGTCTTCCCTTGTCATCATCATAATAGTATAGTTTTGTCTCTCTCCTTCTATTGCTCAGGAACACAGAGGCGGAAAGAGGCTGGTCCTCAAGTAAGCGAAACTGTTCATAGTAATAATAATAATATATTGTCATCTCTGCACTTTTCTTTGACAGAATCGATTTTTTGCGAACAAATTTGTTTTTAGTGTTTTCTCAAAAAAACGCATAGCTTCGAAGGTCGAAAGTCTCAGATATCGGGCCATATGACCCATGATCACTTTAGGCAGGCCGGACCAATCCTTATCTGCTTCCACTGGGCCAGTCGCTTCACTTTTCATCATTCTTTGAAATAGTTTATTCGAATTTTATTTGTTTCCCTGCAACCATCGCTTGCTATGTTATTTATTTGCGTGCTTTTTGCGTTATCCATTTTACCAGCGCCTGCAAGGCTGCATGCTGTATTCGAGCATGACTAATGATGTCATTGCTTATGTCTTTGCTGTGGATAGTCACGTAGCTGCGTTGACATTTTTATTTTACCACCATTATTACACTCTGTGGACGACCACATACATCCACTCGCTTGCACACAGCAGCAACAAGAGGCTCCTTCCAGCAGTGAAGTTTTATTCCTTCTCACAATTGTTTCAATCACTAAGGCCTCGTCAGAGAAGGTTGAGTTGTTGCATGACTGGAAAAGAAATAGTCGCCTACTTTTTACTGTGAATAAGATGTTGGTGCGACTTCAACGATACTTGGGGAAATGTGTGTTGCTCCTTACAAGGGAGCTCGTGATTTCCCTGCCGACTTGAATTCTCACTTGCCTAACTCACGACTGCCATCTAGAGTGCACGAGATGTCCATCGAACCTTCCACTCGTTAAAATATGTTATATTGGCACTTGAAATGAGAGATAGTGCGCTGATGAGCGTGCACTTGATACTCGAAGTGTGAATGCAAGGTGTTAAAATGTTAATCGGTTTCTGAAATCATGGGACACTCTGCAAAGAGGTGATAGTTACTGCCGGATACTGCAACACAGCACGGATACAGCAGTCATGCAAGTAGTTCACCTGGCATCAACCCCATGCTCTCCCTATCCACACTGCACCATCGGCTCTCTCTTCAAGCGAGTGTATCGTTTAGCTCACGTACATACAGTCATGGAAGAGTCAGTATAAACTAGGTGATTGTTTCTTTTCAAGTTATTCAACACCTCAACCTTCTCTGATGAAATCTTAGTGACCAAAACATCTGCCAGAAGAAATAAAACTTCAGTGCTCGAAAGAACCTCTTGTGCCCTGTATTGGGCAAGTGAGTAGATGTGTGTCATCGGCCACAGAGCACAATGATGATGGTGAATATCAATGCAGACACTTTCAAAGGCCGAATACTGTTTACGCTGTGGTTAGTCACGTAGCTGATCTTGTTTTGTTTCTTTGTTGGAGTTGCTGTTTTCTTCACTTCATGTTCAGATCTATTTCATGCACTTCGTGGTGGCTGTCGTTACATTAGCTGCTTCAGCCACGACGAGATATTACTGGTTGTTGTGCCGCCCTTTTGTATGCCTTGTTCCACGTGTCTTTTCCTGGACTAAGTGCTGGTGATTTTGTTCTTCCTCTTGTTCTTCTCTTTCTCTCTTCACTGCTAACTTGCATTATCTGTACTACAAATTTTTTCTCCTAGAGGTTTTTGTGTTGTGCTGGTGTTTTGTTGGGAAAAGGAGGAATTTTAGAAAAATATATTGCACCTTTTGCACCACATGTACAGATACGAAACAAATGCTGTACCTATTTACTTGCTCTGCTGTGAGAACAGAGAAAAAGTCCATGTTGGGGCTAATCATAGCAACCATCAAATTAGAATTCTGAGAAATCTCAGCAATAAACACCACACAAGCACTAACTTACTCTCACACAACCGTCAGTGTAATCGGTTACAGCATAACAAATACCATGCTGGGGCAGAGACAGTGCTGCAACACCATACGAGTCACCAATAGCACCGTTACCAATCGTTTTCACGTAAGACCCATCCTGATGTAGGACCTGGAAGAGAAACACATTTGATTTCCACAACAACAAGGAATACAGTCAACAAAGAGGTGAACAGAGTGTTGCAGCAGGCTTGATAGGCAATTGGACAGGGAGGATGAGAGTACAGAGTGGTACAACACAGGAAGTGAAGGTGCAGGCAGTGAGTTGAGATAGGAGAGTGTCAGGCAGTGAGTTGAGATAGGAGAGTGTCAGGCAGTGAGTTGAGATAGGAGAGTGTCAGGCAGTGAGTTGAGATAGGAGAGTGTCAGGCAGTGAGTTGAGATAGGAGAGTGTCAGGCAGTGAGTTGAGATAGGAGAGTGTCAGGCAGTGAGTTGAGATAGGAGAGTGTCAGGCAGTGAGTTGAGATAGGAGAGTGTCAGGCAGTGAGTTGAGATAGGAGAGTGTCAGGCAGTGAGTTGAGATAGGAGAGTGTCAGGCAGTGAGTTCAGATAGGAGAGTGTCAGGCAATGAGTTGAGATAGGAGAGTGTCAGGCAGTGAGTTGAGATAGGAGAGTGTCAGGCAGTGAGTTGAGATAGGAGAGTGTCAGGCAGTGAGTTGAGATAGGAGAGTGTCAGGCAGTGAGTTGAGATAGGAGAGTGTCAGGCAGTGAGTTGAGATAGGAGAGTGTCAGGCAGTGAGTTGAGATAGGAGAGTGTCAGGCAGTGAGTTGAGATAGGAGAGTGTCAGGCAGTGAGTTGAGATAGGAGAGTGTCAGGCAGTGAGTTGAGATAGGATAGTGTCAGGCAGTGAGTTGAGATAGGAGAGTGTCAGGCAGTGAGTTGAGATAGGAGAGTGTCAGGGTGCGGATGATAGCCTTTATACAGGCGTTATTTCTCACTTAAGAAATTCAAAATATTAGTCCTCCGGCCTAATTTGTGTTATTTAGAACAATGTTTTCTTCCTGATGAGAGCTGTACAATAACTAGGTTTTTTGAATTTCCATCATTGTCCATCACCAACTGCTATACTATTATCCCCTTTTCTTCTTTGTCCATCACATAATTAGTGAAATTTTTCATGATTTGTTTGTTCTTCCAAGAAAAAAAAGCTTTCATACCTGGCAATTCGGCTTTTTATTATGATGGTGGTTCTACTAGAGAGGTTTTGCATACCGAATTTCTGAATGTTTTTCGACTGTTTTTATCCGAAAAAAAGTGCGTGCCGAAAAACGGCATTTTCAGTGTTTTGCATTCCGAAAATCTGATTCGATTTCCAAGGGTTGCCATGCAAAACAAAATGGAGGGAGTCGAAGGCGCCAAAACCGAAAACGTTTTACAACCGAATCTTGCATATTCGGTTTTGAGGCGTGCTGGTCCAACACAAGCAGCGTGTGTTCATGGTGTTCTCTGACGGACTTCCTGGTGATACCAGCAAATTTTGGGTCAGACAAGGCTAGAACTTTTGCAGTCTCCTCGGATCCCACAGAGCCGCGAACAAAGGGGTTGCCTGAGCAGGATCAAATCCATGTGCAGGTCAAACTGAATCTGGGCGCGGTTCGAAGACGAGGACGGACTGATGGTGGACCGAGTGATCCAACGGCTGAGGACGAGGTTGTCGAACTACTGTCTTGTACTGTCAGTAGGCTCCATGGCAAAGGAAGATAGAGTGTGATGGAGTGTGAGAAGATCTAGTCAACATGGCGAGATCAGCGAGAGCAGCAAAAACCAAAACTACACATGTGGAAATTTTTCAAATAATTATAATCAGCGAGAGCAGCAGAAAACAAAAATACACACATGAAAAATATTCAAATACGTGTATGCGCTCCCAAACAGGAAAGAGCTGAAAATCCATTTTCGAAAAACCATGCATTTTCGCCACCACACTTCCGAATGTTCAACTACATTTTCGACTCCTGCCGCCAAATTCCGAAAATAATTCCGAAATTCGGAATGCAAAACCTCTCCATTAACAATTGAGCCATGATCTCAGTAAATGGACCTTTGGGTTGAAATTTTTGAAATTGCCTTTTTATTTGGACAATGTACTTAAAAAAATTGGTTGTGAGCAACACTGGCTCACACTCAAATAACTGCTTTTCACCAGAAAAATATTATATTTCAACGTTTCGGTCATGAAATAACCATCATCAGGAATGAAGTGGGCACACCGGTTAGGATGGGTTAATATACGAGGAGCGCTGCAAACTGATAACAAATCACACCTGCATGCACTATGACGAGAGAGAGAACAAAAGGACAAAACATCACCAAAAAAAACCCCAGGTATAGAAATAACGCAATACGCGACAACTCTAAAAATGGCACAGGTACAAGCAACAAACTGAATGTACATGTGCACTAGGTGCGTGCAGACATGTAATTGCAGGCGCTAGCAACAACAGTAGTAGTAACAGTGCACTAGTTCAAGGGGTGCTAAACCACCACCATCCAGGAAGAGCGAGTATCAGGGCCAGAAATATGTACAAGGCTTCACCAGAGAATTCACAGGAGGTCCCACCCTGCGTTATTGTTTATGCTGGGGCTCGTGTCGCGAATTTGTATTGCTTCGCGTATTCTCCTCCTGGCCCGATCCGACTCAGTGGCAAGGACGCGAACCTCTGTGAATGCCGACTCGCCAAGCGGCAGTACCTCGTCGCCATGGTGAAGTCGGTAGTGCTCGCCCAGGGCTTTTCCAGACGTCTTGTTGCGTGAGTTATCATTGTGTTCTTTTGTTCGCGTTGCTACACTGCGGCCAGTCTCTCCAACATACTTCTCCGAGCACTTGCAGGTCAGACGATAAACCACGTTGCGTCTTGTGCATTCTACCTCGCTCGATTGGCATGCAACGCAGGCGGCTTTAGGCCTTCCTCGTCGCCTCGGGGCAGCGGGATCCACCCACTTACGGCAGCAAGGTCCAGTGAGGCTGGACTTAGTGACGCTGTTGGAAAGCCTTGCATTCTTGTAGATTATCTGTACATTTAGATTGTATTTGTTTAGAAGACGGTGGACCCTGTAGTGGATGGCATCCGTTTTGAATGGTAACTTCAACGTGGATCGATAGTCTTTCTTTTGTTTAGCAGGTCGTCTGGCTCGTTCATGAGCAGTCGCGATCACTTTGTCAGGAAAGTTGTTGAATTTTAATGTGTCAATAACCTTTTGCTCACTTCGCTGGCGGGCTGCAGGATCAGAGGAAAGGCGGGCCGCGCGGAGGAATTCCGAAGACGCGATGGCGAGTTTTTGCTGTTGCGGAACGCACGAGTTGAAGTCTGAGACGAGGCCACTGTGGCAAGCTTTGCGGAACAGCTCGAATGATATTGCGCCCTCGGAGGAGACATGAATAGTCGTGTCCATAAAGTCAACCGACCCAGTTTCCTCCGAAGATTGATACGTGAACTTGATGCTCGCATTGGCGGTATTGAAGAATGCAATCAGCTGGCGGAGAAGCGCGGCCCCCAGTGTCCACAGCATAATGATGTCATCAATATAACGCTTGTAGAGTACGGGAGCACCAGGCGAGTTTAGCAACAGCGAGGTTTCGAGGTCATGCATGAAGATAATCGCAAACGGGGGCGCTAGGTTGTTACCCATGGCGATGCCTTCCCTCTGGTGGTAGACCTTCTCACCAAATCTGAAATAATTGGATCTTAGAACGAAGGTTAACAGCTCTTCGATCTGCTCCACGCTTAAACCAAATGTGTCAACAGACTCGATGTGCTGCTGCAGGACTCTAGCAACCGCCTGCACCCCTTCAGCGATAGGGATACTTGGGTAAAGAGCGACCACGTCCATCGTAACGATGATGGTCCCCGCTGGGGCTTGTAGGTCGGGATACACTTGCCGGATATCCTCCAGTGCTTCCAGCGTGTTTTTCAGATGTGCTGGGACATACTTCAGGCATTGGTTGAGTATACGCTCCAGGACAATAGAAATATTGGTCACCGGGCTATCAACAGCTGACACAACTGGCCGAAGCGGTACCGTGGCTTTGTGGTCTTTAGGTAGGCCATACATCTCCGGAAACCTGTTGTCGCCAGGGAGTATGGCTTGGTACAGGTCCTTCTCTAGTGTACCACCACAGACGCGTTGAAGGATGGTGCGCGTTTGCTTCTCCCAATCATCGATGGTGACATTGACGGGTGTGAACTTTGTCCCATCTGACAGGATAGTCTCGGCCTTTAAGCGTTATATTGATGACATCATTATGCTGTGGACACTGGGGGCCGCGCTTCTCCGCCAGCTGATTGCATTCTTCAATACCGCCAATGCGAGCATCAAGTTCACGTATCAATCTTCGGAGGAAACTGGGTCGGTTGACTTTATGGACACGACTATTCATGTCTCCTCCGAGGGCGCAATATCATTCGAGCTGTTCCGCAAAGCTTGCCACAGTGGCCTCGTCTCAGACTTCAACTCGTGCGTTCCGCAACAGCAAAAACTCGCCATCGCGTCTTCGGAATTCCTCCGCGCGGCCCGCCTTTCCTCTGATCCTGCAGCCCGCCAGCGAAGTGAGCAAAAGGTTATTGACACATTAAAATTCAACAACTTTCCTGACAAAGTGATCGCGACTGCTCATGAACGAGCCAGACGACCTGCTAAACAAAAGAAAGACTATCGATCCACGTTGAAGTTACCATTCAAAACGGATGCCATCCACTACAGGGTCCACCGTCTTCTAAACAAATACAATCTAAATGTACAGATAATCTACAAGAATGCAAGGCTTTCCAACAGCGTCACTAAGTCCAGCCTCACTGGACCTTGCTGCCGTAAGTGGGTGGATCCCGCTGCCCCGAGGCGACGAGGAAGGCCTAAAGCCGCCTGCGTTGCATGCCAATCGAGCGAGGTAGAATGCACAAGACGCAACGTGGTTTATCGTCTGACCTGCAAGTGCTCGGAGAAGTATGTTGGAGAGACTGGCCGCAGTGTAGCAACGCGAACAAAAGAACACAATGATAACTCACGCAACAAGACGTCTGGAAAAGCCCTGGGCGAGCACTACCGACTTCACCATGGCGACGAGGTACTGCCGCTTGGCGAGTCGGCATTCACAGAGGTTCGCGTCCTTGCC